AAAAAGAGGAAGACCCCCATCAAGATGGATTGGCCAAGTGGCAGCATCGATGGACTCAAGCGTGTGAACAGTAGTGAGGTTGGCCCAGGATCGAGCAGTGTTTCCTTCTGCTGTGCATAAGGTCCCTATGAATTGGTACTGACTCGATGGCACCTAACAACAACAACAGCAACATAGCACCTGTTGTCCTTGCGTGGTACTGCAGGATAAGAGTAGGACCACAAGGTTGATTTCAACTACAATACTGGTTTTTCAAACTCACCAGTCACTCTTTGGAAACCCTATACTGGGTTGCTATTTCAGAACCAATTTGATAGCACTTAACAAAACAGCACCCAGGGGAGTTCTATAAACACTTTTTTAATGAATAAAGAAACTGAGGATGTTACCAGATATGAATTTTTTAGCTTTAGGAAATGGAAAGTGACTCTAGCCAACTTAATAATACCTTAAAATAATTTACTAGCTTCTAGAATTACAAGATAGCAGGAGGGGAAAAAAACAGTAGAAAATATGGTAAAAACTAATCGAACCAATTAGGGCTGTCATGGATCACTGTTGTTACGTATGAAAGAGTCAGTTCTGAATCTATGTTTTACGTGCAATAGAATGAAACTTTTCCTGTTCCTGCAACATCTTCAAAATAGTTGCTAGTTTTGAGCCATTGTTTTAATCACTGTATTTAGCCATTTCATTGGTGAAAAAAGTTTTCTTTTCACCATGTCCTTAAAAGCCCTCAGGGAGTCAAATGTGACTGAATCATCTTTCCATTTTGTAAGAGTAAAGCAGGACACCTTGTTTTATAGTTCTAACAAGTTTTCACATAACTGGAGAGAAGCAAGACATTAGAATGCAATCAGTGTGAAGTATAAAATCAGCAGGAAGAAACTAGGTGGAAGATACATTCACCATGTATTTGCATTTCTTTTAGTTTGCAGGCTTCCAAAAAGTTCTACAAATGTCAATGAAAGTCTCTTATAAGAGGGAAAAGAGACCAAGCAATTTGGTCTCTGCTAACACATCAATGTCCTCATTTTTCAAGTGAAATAGCAAAGTACCCCTTCAAAGTTGAGTGTATGATTTCTGAACAAATTAGACTAATAAGAAAAGTTTCATTAGGCAAGAAAGACATGATGTGAGAGGGAAGCCCTGGGGTTGATAGTGGATAACAGTAAATAGATGCTGAAGTGAGATGAAGTACTATGGCGAAAGACCCTTTTCCACATGGGAAGTTTGGTTTTTCTACATAGGTACTATGACATCTACACAAAGATGTCTTCCCAGGATAATCTCATAAACTTTCCAAACATTTTTTCCTGATATTTTATTTTATAAAAAACACCCATAGTGCCTGTCAAGTTGATTGCTAAGCAACTAATTAGGGTCTTTGATAAAAATTTGAAACTAGTTTGAATGGGTATGGGAGGCAGAGTGCTAGTATACCCACAGATATATGAGTGTTAACAAGGATATTTGCGTATGGGTATTTGCCTTTCCTGCAAACACAATTATGAATGTTTCTTTGCAGCATACAGTGGGCAATATGAGGAAAACTTCTTAGAGATTATTAAACATCTTAAGACAATAAGTTGCTGGGTCTTGTGACTCAGGACCATAGTCTCAGGGGACACCATGATCAACTGGTGTGGTGCTGTGGTATAAAGCACTGTTCCTCAAGGTCAGTTTTGAACCACAAGGTTGGTGGGACAAACTCACCAGCTGCTTGTTGAAAACCCTACACATGGTGACTATGAGTCAGAACTGACTCGATGGCCCTTAACAACAAGGTCCACAAAGAGAATGATCTGTATCCTAATTTGATGAGTAACCTGTGGGAACTGAAAAGTTCATGAGCACTCATATAAGGTGCCACTATTGCTCTCTCCATGTGCAGATAAAAGAAGATTGATGAGAATTTGATTCTTGGGATCAATTAGTCCAACAAACTAATGAAACATGTAAAAAACAGTTTTTATGACTGAGACCAGAAGGGTTAGATGGTGCTCAGCTACCACTAATAACTGCTTTGAGAGGGATTGCATTATAAGGTCCTTGATAGAATGGGAGAAAATGTTAAACAAAACTGAAAATTAACAACAACAAAAAGACTGAATTTACTAATCAGAAAAAGACCAGAGACTATGGCCCTTGTCCACCCTTCAGGCTGGAAAGGAATTGACATTCTTGGCCCAATTTTTCAAACAAGTAGTAGATAGAAATATGGGGGGGGGGGGGGGAAAACAATATTAGTAATGTATGCTCACCCTGGAATGGTCAATCATTCAAAATCAAAAGGGCAACAAGTAGCTAAGGACAAAGTGGAGAAGGGATGGAAAGGTGTGTGTAATGGAAATAGGGACCACAGGGAGGAAGCAGGATGATACCTATTGTGATGTGCAGGGGATTGTAATCATTGAGGTCAAACCAAGCGTATTAGTTGTTGACTGTAAAACTGATGACCTTGTTCATAAACATTCACTCAATTCACAGTAAAAAGTTTTTAAAAAATATTGAAATCGGTTGGATTTTTACTTTGTTTGTCTTTGTAGGTCTAGCCAGCAAATATAAGTTCATGACAACATGGTGATTTGTTTTTAAGAATGTTTCACAACAAGTATCATCCAGATATAATTATGCAAATATCTCACCCATCTGTCAGACAATTGGAATTTCTTTAAATTGTTAAATTATATTGGCCATATTTCAACTGTAGGATTAGATATACTCTACATATTCAATTAATATAAGAAACAAAAAATCATTCAACACCTGAAGTTAATTTTCATAATTGTGACTATGTGTGCTATCACTTAGGAGCAAGTCAAGTAATTATTGGAATTTTAGTAAAGTAGTATATTATTTATGTAGGGAGTTATAGAACTTTTAGAATGTGGGACTAGATTTTATACACAATTTTACAAACATGTACATAATTATGTTGTAGTTGTTAAGTGCCGTCAAGTCATTTCCGACTCATAGCGACCCAGAACAGGGTTTCTGAAGCTGTAAATCTTTATGGAAGCAGATCGCCTCATCTTTCTCCCGCGGAGCAGCTGGTAGTTTCGAACTGCTGATCTTGTGGTTCGCAGCCCGATTCGTAACCACTACGCTACCAGAGCTCCATATATATATATGTATGTATTATCACTGAGGATTAATTCAAGTAATTGTTGGAATTCTAGTAAAGTAGCAAATTGTATATGTAGGGAGCCATATTAAAGAAATAATGGGATCATATTGATAAGAATGCTACTTTCAGCTAAGCTACAGATTTGGAATTTATACAACAGAACAAAACATAAGTTGTATGAGCCTAGGCTTTATAAAATTTTCTTCAAATTATGTTCTATAAATTATAGATCTATGATTTGTTATTCAGAAATTATATATATATATATATATACATAAACACCATTATAGAATAAGTGAACTATTAGAGTAGTACCAAAAATAAAATAATATTGAAATGCCTTATTTACTAATTTAAAAGTCTTACTATTTTATGGAGTGCTGGTGTGGCACTTTGGGTTAATGCACTGGACTGCAAAAACCATAAGGTCAGTGGTTCTAGCTCACCAGCCACTCCTTGGAAACCCTAAACAGGGTCACTATGAGTCAGAATTGATTCAATGGCACTTAACAGTAACAACAACAATTATTGTATAGGCATTCTGGTGTAGCATTGCAAGATAAGCACTGAACTGTTAACTGTAAGGTTGGTTGTTCAAATCTATCAGGCACTCCTTGAAAATCCTATACAGATCGCTTTAAGTTGGAAGCAACTAAAGAAAAACAAAACAAAACAAAAACTTATATAAAGTCGTTTTTTTCTTCCTGCAATAATGCTAATCTTTTTATCTTTGTGTTGTATTTTTTTTTTTTTGCAGTGTTGTAATATACGTTTTTGAAACGACAAACTCACATCCATATCCATTTCATGTTGAGAGATTATGTATTTTGAAAACTAGAGACATTTTATCATGAAATATGCCATGTGGAATCTTTGAAGCATAGAATTCTACGAAACACTGGAACAAAGAATTCTTCATCTGGTATGTAAGAGAGCTCCTCACCTCCACAATGACTAATCAGGAAAAATGGGCCCATCTTAGCCCCTCAGAATTTTCACAACTTCAGAAATATGCTGAATGTAAGTATATATACTGATAATATCATTTATTTTGCCTTTATGCTACAGAAGGCATCAATTATTTATAAGAAATCACAGGATATGCTCATTATGAGGGTAGATGGAAATGAGTGTTTTATGCAGATTAATGAGGTTGAGCTGAGACTACCTTTACAAAAAGAGGTAAACTTAAATACCAATTAATGAAGGTAAATAAATTAGGATGCTAGATTCAAAGCTAAACTGGTAACAGCTCAGCTGTAATAGGTGTAAAACAATGTGAGAGATTGAGAGGGTTAATGTAGACCTATAATACTGTCACATAAAAAAGGGTCAACAGGAGCAGGAAAATAGTAATGAAGAAATTTAAAAAAAAAGCAGTTAATCTTTAGTAAATATGATCTGATTTGTAGATCATAAAGAAAAGACAAAGTAACGTTGGTTTTCTTAGGAAACCTAACATTTCAAATGAACCTGGGATTAGGAAATCATAGATATAGTGTAGAAATAGAATTAGATGTCATCAGTCAAATGAAGAGAAGTTGGCAGGGCCTTGACCCAACTAGTTTAATGTGTATATAAAATTTAAAAAACAGGTAGTATAATACTGCTGGATAAGCATTGGACTGCAAGGTCATCAGTTCAAACTCACCAGCCACTTCTCAGAAACCCTTCATAGGGTCACTATGAATTGGAAGTGATTTAACAGTATACAACAACAACATTGTAAATACTATCTTTTTTTTAGACATTCTCAATTGGTTTACAAGTTATTTGTTTTTTCCCCCCAAGATTTTGTGCAATAATTTTACTTCATAGTAGAGGTTCAGTGATAAATGTTAATAGCAACTGTGTTAAGGAATTGAAAAGGGAAGGAAGTAATAATAGGAGACACTGAAAAGCTTGGATAAGGATGACTCAAAATATAGTAACACATAGAAAATTTAATAAGAACTTGAGATTGGAGGATATGACATGATGACTGGGAAAATAAAATGCAAGAAATGGAAAACAGAGAAAGAATGAATAACAATAGTGAAAGAAGCAGAATTTTAATAACTTCAATCCATATGTAGAGAGGAAGCATTGCCTATAGGGTTGGCCATCAGGAATGACTTGACCATCATGATAAAAGAGAGGAAGAAAAAATTCTTAAACACAGAAAGGAGGTTTAGAATAGTAAGAAGCAGGTGAAACAGTAACAGTGAATAATAGCACTCCCATTCAATGGGTACATTAGAATTTTAATAAATACTGATGGATGTCACTTGGAAGGGACAGTTTCCCAGGTGCTCAAGAGTATAGATATTTCAAGGAGTAAAGGATACTAGCAGATATTTGAAAATCAATATGTCCATGTGCATTTTCTTAGTCAACATTAATAAAAATGCAACTAGTATCATGTGAGGTTAAAAATTTGTTGACATTAAATGTAGTCCTCATGCTATAAAGTGGTTCACCAAAAACATAATGGATAACTATTCTGTAAGAAAACTTTTGCCTAGAATGGCACCCTCCTTGTTTCTTATCTGCATTTTTTTTATTCAGCCATTTCTAAATTGTTTCCTAAGAAATATTCAACTTATCTTTTATAATTTCTCTATGATTTTTGCTACTCTGGAATATCTCACCAGTAAGTAATATTTCTGATTACTAAAGAAGTAATATCTTCTTTAGGAGGATATTCAGCTTGGTGCTGCAGGAAATATAAATATAACTGCATATGAATGTTTTCTTTACGGGATTTACAGTTTAATGGATATGATAAATTAATAGATAAATGACTCTATCTAAGCAGAATGTTGGGAGTCTTGGTGTGTCACTGTGAGTTATTATGCTGGACTGCAAAGTTGGTTTGAACCACAAAGTTAGTGATTCAAGCTCACCAGGTGCTCCTAGGAAACCCTATACAGGATCACCATGGGTCGGAACCAACTTGACGGCACCTAACAACAACAACAACAACAACAACAATAACAAGCAGAATATTGTAAGTTTAGCATTCTTTAGGGTTTAGAATTCAGTCGGAGATGGAGAAAGAAGACGAAGTTTTTATGACAAATGGGGATTTAGAAATGATTCTCGAAAAGCAGGATTAGATAAATAGGTAAGAGAAAATATGAAAAAAAAAGGAAAATTCAGCATCTCTTTGAAGAAGATAGATCAGTTACATTAGTCAGATCACAAATGATAAATGGAGTTGATGCTATTAATAAAAACAAACCAAAAAAATGAGATGAAATAAAACTATGGAATGCTGAACTTAAATATTGTGGAGATAGATAGTGAGGAATTATTGTAGGGTTATTGATAGTGGAGGGACATGAGCAATGATTCATAAAGTTAAATTTGGTAATCAAAAGTGGTATATTGTAATGAAAATGTATTAGAGGCAGTACAGTTAGCAAGCTATTGTAATGGACTATATAATTTTAGTGATGAAAAATTACCAGAGAAGTGGAGACTCAGATTTTTTAGTATTAGAACTAATAGAACTGACCCTAGAGCAAGTAATAAAATATAAAGATTGATAAGGAAGATGAAGAATATGAATTTCATTTGGTTTTGATTTTGATGATTATTGTGAGAAAGCACATTTGGAAAAGTCAATGAAAAGAGACAAGTACGTAAAGAAGACATTTAGTTTGGTTCAGGTAATGTTGAATTTGGCTTGATACTAAAATAGTTTTTCCAATGTCTGGGTATATTAAACAAAAGCTGCTTATGTAGTCATTAACGTACAATGTCACTGTTAAATGCCATCAAGTCCGTTCCAACTCATAGTCATCCAATATAGGGTATCTAAGGAGTTGCTGGTGGGTTTGAACTGTGACCTTATGTTAGCAAACCATTGCTTATTCCAAATATAAATTATTTCCATAATAGCTACAAAATCATTTATAATGATTGTTGCTCAGATTTTAAATTTTTCTTTGTATTTGTAAGCAGACAGATATTTCTACTAAAGTATTAAACATATTTCAGGTAGCTACTTTCATTTTATTAGCTAAGATATATGTTGTTGTTTTTGTTGTTAATTGCTGTCGAGTTGGTGCCAACCCATAGCGACCCTCTGTAGGATTTCTGAGGAGCCACTGGTGATCTTGAACCGCCAACCCTGCTGTTCAAACCAACTTTGCAGTCCAGCACAATAACCCATAGCGCCATACCAGTCTACACTTATTTATATCATATGAATCAATTTATGGGAATATCCAGGACTGGTGGTAATGAAATGACCAAAAATGGAAAAATTATACCATGTTGATTTATAAGAGTTCAATAAATTGATAGTAGTAAGTGTCAAAGTGAATGTGAAATAGTAAAGGAGTTTTATGAGAAGACAGGAGTACCAGTCTGGTGCTGTAGGAAAAGCATTAGTCCTCAAGGTTGGTGGTTCAGCCCACTAGCCGTCCCTCAGGAACCCTATACAAGGTCACTGTGAGTCAGAATTGTCTGGACAGCACTTAATCACAACACGAGAAAGATAAACTATCAGTAGTACAAAATGACATGGTGAGTGTAAAACTTCACCAAAAGACAAATTAACAGGTTAACTATGAGTCGAAAAAGAAAATAGTGTCTATTCCATGATCATGAGACTTTTTCCTGTTTTCAAATAATCAAGATCTCAAAAAACGTGCTAGACTTACTCCTTTGAGAAGTTCCTGTGTGATCAGAAAGCAAAGCAAATAGTGACTCGAATACATCCTTGTGTAAGAAATTGTCCTTGTCAAAATATAACTGCTAACAAACTTATTATTGAGAAAGTTATAATATTAGTACATTTCTCATGCTCTTCACTTCGTTTGACCAAGTTTATCAGTGGCCTTCTAGGGTTCATGTGTGATGCTGTATTACAATAATCCAAAAGTAGTGTTCCTCCTTACGACTCTATTGTAAAAGTGCCCTAGTGGATTCACTTTCTTGACTTTACTTATATTGCGTTTTTCAATAAGAAATTGTTTAGATACCTGGTATGGCACTGTAAGATAAGTAATGGACTACCAACTACAAGATCAGCTCTTCAAACCCAGCAGCTGCTACTTGGAAACTCTTCACAGGGTCGTTATGAGTCAGAAATTACTCTAACGCACATAATGGCAATAACAATATACATTGTTGTTATTGGTAAGCACTGTTGAGTCAGTTCCAATCCATAGAGACCCTGAATAAGGTCTGAGAAGCAGCTGGTGAGATTGAACCACTGACCTTGTGGGTCAAAGAGACTTTGTGGTCCACCACATTAACCCACAACACCACACCAGGACTCCAACAATATACATTAAATAAGCAAAAATTTTAACAAACAAAGAAGCAACTTGTTGATTTAGAGTTGAATTTACATCTTAACATTGTATGCAACATATATCACCTAAATGAATTTGGATGTTTTTTGGGGGTGGGACTATGAATTCTTTGGTAAGATGAATGAGCTCATGGGGCTTCTATCAGTAAACTCCAAATCATTCTCTGTTGGATCATCACTTCTTAAGTTATTTATTTGATGTTGGATTCTCTCCTTAGTTATAATATACACTGCAACTCTGAATAGTTCCACAAGCTCCAGACTTTTTTCATTATTAATTGAGCTAAACAGAGATATTTTGCACAGCTTATCATGTGAGGTAGCTGGCATAGCAAACAGCTTGTATTCAAATCCTGCATCTGCCCTTATTTGGATAACTGACTTTGGAATTACTTAACATCTCTGTGTCTCATTGATTACAATTTTAAAGAGGGAAAAGTACCAAATATGTCAAGTGTTTTAAGTATTAAATGAAATGAGTTAATTGATGTGAAGTACACCTATGCCTCGCTTATCGACTAGTTATCTGACATTTCACATTTACAACAATTGTGGAAAATGTACTATCCAACTATTTTGCATATTAATGAGGCAGCAGACATGGCAGAAATATCTGCAGAGTGTCCCCTCCTGCAAGAATAGTCTCTGAAAATCTCCGGAAGCTAGGCCGCACTACCTCATGCCTTCCGTGCCCTTCTGCTGGTGGGAGCAC